GCGCCCCGCCCCCAGCGCGAGGCGGCCCCGCGGGACCCCCCCAGCCGCACCCACCCGCCGCGGCGGGGAGACTCCGGGAGAGGAAGGAATCTAGGCGCCGCGGGCCCACTCCCCACGCCGCGGGAGGGGCAATCCGCTGGTACTCCAGCAGGAGGGACGGAAATGGCTCGCGTGGGTGGAGAGGTGCGACGCGGACACCACCTCTGAACCGAGCTGGATGGGGGGTGGATTTGGTGTGGGTTGCTGTGGACCCTTAAGGTGACCTCGGCGCGACCTGGCACCCACACGCCCGTGTGCACAAGGTCCCTGCGGGACCCCACCTGCAGGGGTCTCCGGAGAGGGAAAGGACACGTGGATCCTTAACCCATCATTGCATCATCACCAACCCGAAGGGGACTGCAGCACAGCAGCCCACGGGGCTGCCCTAGACACCGTATCCCCAGCATTTAAACGGTCCCGGTCTGGTCCGCGCGCGTCCTAAAAACGCGTGCTACACTAACCACGTTCCCAGGAAGTCGGTGGGACTTGAAGTTGTAGGAAGCGTGCCGTGGCCCCTGATGCCACCTCCGAGTATGCTCATTGTGCGGGGCAGACGCGGCGAGGCGCCGCGCTCCTAAGTGGGGTGGGCACAAAACTTCCACTGGCTGCGATCAGTTCGCGTTCTAGAATTTGCCAACGAGTATCAACTTCTAGTGAGCAATTAAGTGTAAAGTTGGCAGGCTGCCTTCGGTTTTCTAGAGTTAACATCAGTTTCAACAATCCTCGTTCTTTACACGTTTTACTCCCAGCCAGTGAGCTCCATCGCTCGCACCCGAAAGGCGCTGGGGCGCGCCTGCTGGGCAGGACTAAGGCGCAGGAAGCTGCACATTTCGATTCCTCAATTGCTGAGAAGTCTAATCACATCGCTCCTCTTTTCTTCCCTTTCTACAGGTTTCGACTTGAATGTGAAAATGCCTCTGATGCCCATTTTTCACTAGAGAACACTCGGAGGGGGCAGGGTCTTCATATAAACTGCTGCTTGAGCATCTAGCTGGACAGACTTGATAAAAGCGTGTCCACATTTACATCACACATCTGTGCAAATGCAGGGGCTTTGGATTAGCCGGGCTGGCTGGTGGGACTTAAGTGTGTAGACACACAGGCGCGTGCACACGCCCGCGCGCGCGTTCACACACACGCACACACCCCAAATTACCTCCGGGATGGAGAAAGATGCTGCGGATTGGCCAGGAGAGCCGTCACTCACACCCAGGGGGCAGGGAGACTTTGGAAAGCAGTTTCTTTTTTCTCTATCTTCTCTGCCGTTTCATATAATGGTAAAACAACAGCAGAGCTCTGAAAGTTAGCCATCTACGAGAGAGTTTGCCTTCTTCACTGGGGGAGGGAGCGCGTCAGACAACCATTTAAATATATCTTGTACTTCCACAATGGACGAAAAGGGAAATTAGCAGTCGGGTGAGGGAGGTACGAGCCGGGAGGAGGGGATCATCCGGGAGGGGTGGACTCAGGGTAGAGTTGTTCTCGACACTCAGAAGAGACTTCGACCTCAAACTGATTTCGAAATCTGAACATGTTTATCACAGGTCAGATCATAACAGACTCTCGTCCCTAATTTTTGAACTCATTATTTTTATTTTATTATTTAAGCGTGCGCTAGCAATCATACTTCCTTAAGAAAGAACTGACCTATTTTTGGCTGGAGATAAACGACCATGTTAACAGATGTTAATCTTGTAATCTGTTTTTCCTGTAAGCACTTTACATACCAGGGTTTCAGACCTTAAAAATAACATCTTCTCCAAAAGACCTGACGTCACAATTAACTCCATGAAAAAAATCACACTCCCCCTCCAGTTTTCTTCCCCTGCAATGATTTCAAAGACATTAAATCTTTTTCACTTTATAAATGCTGATTTGTTCTGCCTCAACTCCCACAGGCTTTTATTTGCATTTCAAATTCCACAGGTTACACCAGTCGCCTTTTCAAAAAATGTAAACCAACAATGAGGCAGCAAATAGCTTTTTGTGCATCTGGATTAAATAAGGCACAGAATGAATATATTTAAAAAGAGGGCTGAGCAAGTTGATGTCTGCACACCCGGAGACCAAGTGACTCTTTATCAGTAAGCCAGCGGAATGAGTGAGATGCAAACAGCCCCAGAGCTCCTGGGCTGATCCCGGTCGGCTGCGGGAAGCTTATTAACGCTGGTAATAAATGAGGCTGACTTACAGACCCACATTTTTCGGGTAAAAAGCCGATTCTTATGGGTCCCTATTTGCAGAGATCCACTAGCTTTCTGGCTCACAATGCCTGATCGTCACCGTACGCCAACCTTCCTCCATAAACCTCTGGTTTAAATACCCCACTCGGCTGGGTTTTAAACTTATTCATACAAAGTTTCTTTAAAACTTGACGAGGCGGTTTAATCTAAATATTGATCGTAACTATTCAGTTTGTTAGCGCTCCCTGGAAATGGCAGAGGAGGCGCCTTTCCAACCCCCACCCCAGCCGGCACACACCCCACTGCATTCTTTTCTTCTATACACCCCTGTGTGGGTGTGAGTATATGTGTGTAATGTGTATACATATACGTGTATCGCCATCAATACCGCCCCCACCCCAACACTGCTCTGACCCCGGCAAGACTGGACGTATCTCGGAGGAGTCGCTGCCTTCCAGACCCCCACCCAACTCCGAGTCACTTAGAGAACCTCGCCCCCGCCTCCACCCATCACGAACTTTTCTTCCCAAAGCTTTCACTTCTTTAATGTTAAGGTCACTCTAAAGCTCCTGGCTGATGGACAGTCACCCTGGAAGGGGACAGCAAAGACCACCCCCCCAATACACACGCAAACACATGCCCCAGGCAGCCGCGCTCAGTGCCACAAGGCATCGATCCCATCCGCCAAACCCTTAATAATTGAAGCTGCTCCTCGGGCCCCGCAGCCCATCACCCACCTTCATTAGCCGGAGCGTTTTACTTTAAAGTAAGGCAATTTGCTCTTTGTCTCCTAATGGATGGAAAGCGCATCCGAGCTCCCCTCCTCCCGCGACGCCTTTGACGAAGTGTACAAAGCCAGAGCCTCTTCCGCGCTCCCACCCCGGCCCCCACCCCGCCCCTCCACTGCGGTAAAAAGCCACCTCCAGGGCGCTCGCCCCGCCGCCCGAAGTTGCATCTTCCCCTCTCCTGGAATTGCAGTACAGGGCAACTACCGACAGGGAAAGACAAATCGCCCTCCCCGCACCCGAGGAGCCCCTCTCTGGCGCGCCCCCGCCCCACGGCTCACATCAGGGTCCCGGGTACGTCGAGCCCCCCGGCCCTCTCGCCCCCACCAGCCCGCGGGCCCCGCAGCTCCTCAGCCCCGCAGCCCCTACCTTGGCCGGGTGGCGGAGGACGCGGGGTGGAGGACGCGCACGCCCCGCGCATCTGAAGGTGAAGCCGAGCGCCCGGGGCGAGGAGCAGAGCGCTGCACTACACCGACCGCGCCAGCTGCGCCCGGGAGCGGGGGATGCGCGAGGGCACACGGGGCCCGCCACGCGCCCGGCCCACTCCCCACGTCGCCCGCGCGCGCCCGGGACGCGGCCGCCGGGTGGGGGTCCGGGAGCCAGCCCCGATCCCAGGGCTGCGCGGTGCGAGGAGGGAGCCGGGCTCCCGCGGCCCAGCGCAGGCCCTAGGCTTCCCCCAGCCCGGGAATGGTCTGCCCTGTAGGAAACGCACACGCTCCACTATTGTCTCATCAGCGCAAAGTTCTGCCACACTGCAGAGAAAGTCTGGAGGTTCGCGATGACTCAGACTCGGATAATCCTTCCCCTAATAGCACTGAATCACGATCCGGGCGGCTAGTGGTCGCCCCTTCTTCCCAAGGTCTCAGGCTGCTACAGCTCCAGTTCCTGGAGGCTGTTTACGCGCGCACACACACGCACACACACACGCATCCATGCGTGGAGACGTGCTCGGGATGCAGGTCCAGCCAGTTCAGGCACCTTGGCACTGAGCCTCTAGGTGGGATCTAAACGCCGAGACCCTCCCGATGGTCCCTGAGGCACAAGTGTTCACTGAACTTCCCAGGAGCATTTTGGGGAGTTAGGATGGAGAGTGCCACTCCCGGAAGTCTTGCATCCAGAGCATTTTGAATCCAGAGTCTTTCCAGGGTTTGCTGGAAAGACTGAACCACTACCGTACAAAGTGGCGTCTGAACTCGATTGTCACCGGTGGTGTTTACTTTATCCTTTAAAGTTCAACTCATTTTGCTATTGTTCTTAAAACTTCATTTCTTCACCTCCACTACTCTTCACGGGTCGCAGTTCGTTGCAATAAATTGAGTATGGGAATAGAAATCTTAGAAGAAGAAATCCAGAAGCTTTTCCGGTACTTGGCAGGGAGGGGTCGGGGCGGAGGGAGGGAGTTAGACCAGAGGGGGAGGAGGAGGGACGGGGGGCGCGCCCCACGATCCGCTGTGACGTAGGCCGGGGCGCCGTGGCCTGCGGAGGGGCAATACTATCTGCTCCTACCAGGCTTTTAGCCATGTTGTTCTGCCTTTCCGCGTGATAATTCCGCAGTGGAGGTGGATTCTGGCCAAGGCGCCCAACGTGGCTCTGCTGAACAATTGGCGCTGCGTTCCCGGCATTGCCTTTTGCGGTGGCATTTCTCTGTGCCCAGCACTCTCCTCGCGCGGCCGTGGCCCTCCCCACCTAATGGCATTGATAACTGAAACTCCTTCTGCACCGACGAGCTACAAAGGGCGGTGCTTGTGCCCTGGCAGAGCTGGAAATCGGGCGCGGGGCCATTCTTCATGTGCGAGATGTCTTCGTGTGTATGTGTGTGTTTCAGCGGAGGAGGGGGAGAGAAAGGGAGGAAGACGGCGAGGAAGGATCCGCAAATCATAAAATGTAAGCTCCCTGTGGTTAATGATCGGCACTAATTTGGAAAGCAGGCATGTTAAAGGTCATGGACAATTGTTGATTTCAGCCTGAATGCCTAAGTGTGATTCACAGAAAAGTATTGAAATGCCCACAATTCATTACAATACACAATGAAAATTCACCACAAAAGTATTGCCCAATTCAACTAATTACATAAATAACATGCATAGATATCACATATATGCATATGTAAACTCCAACATAGGTTAAAAGTTGTACTATACGACTTTTAATTTGGTAGTGTTTTGAAACATATGAAAAGATGGAATAAATATTATTCATCTGATTCTTGGTTCTAATTTCATACTAGTGTTGCACTAATAATTTCCATGTGTTGAAAATTGACAAGTTAGATCAGCGAACAGTGAGGAAAACTTCCAGACTCCTCCACATAAAATTGTAAGATTTTCGTGATTTACCTCCTTTTTCAAGCATGTCTAGGGTCTTCTCTTAAATCACCCACATGTGATTTCACTCAGGGCTTGGTCTGTCTGCAATAATATTGTGCTTTTAAACGATTTCCTTTCTTCCACATTTCTCTACAATGCACACAAATCTGAGAACATAATTTGATAGATGTACAAGAGTTAAATTCTGGTGCCAGTGTGGCAAACCCAAGAAATTGCAGCTGGAGGGCCCGCAACATTTCATCACCACGTTGAGATGTATTTACATTGATTGTAGACAAAGTCACTGGTCTTTGTTTGTTAACACACCATTATTAGCTTACTCTACACACCAAAAAGTATGAAAATTAAATATTCAGTAAGATTTCACATGCTACTCCTTTTTTTTCACATGCTACCCCTATAACCATGTTTAGCCTTGCCAAAATTTCAACTGTTTAATACCTTCAAACAACGAAGGTAACTATTAAAGATTTAGGATATTGTTTCTACACATTATATAAGCCCTTGGGAGTCCCTAGTTGTGCATCTCTATTTTGAAATATTTAGGTAACTTACAATTTGTAAGCAGAGCAAAATCGGCAGTACTAATTGTTGATCTTTGGATATTTATAACTTCATAACAGTCAGTAATTCTGGTTGATGAAATAGATGGGGAAAAATAGTACCCTTGCTATTGTCTAATGAATTATTTTCTTCAGCATTTAGATCTCTGCTCCTTCCAGTAATTTGATAACAGTGTTCTGTGATGGCAGTGGTTGGTGAGAAGGGTTCTCAGGTATTCCAGTGAATAGCTAAGAGTAAAAAGCAAACAAACAGCAAAAAGACGCCCCCCCGCCAGGCCTTGTCTGTCTGAAAGTGCAAATTGAAACTCTAGCTATAGCATGAACTCCAAGACAAACTAAAACATATGTATTAAATATGCATGCTCACAAATGTAAGTGTAATGATTAGATAGTTCAGTACACTACTTATTAGTAAATATTGATATTAATTCTATCTCTGAATTTATTAGGATTTTCTAAATTATATCTAAGAATGACATTATGTGCTTATATACATAATGACATTATGTACTAAGAATGACATTATGTACTAAGTCAGGGAGCAATATTTTGCTCTCTGAACTCACATTTACAAATTTCCGAGGGGATTATGGATAACTCTGATAAAATGTGTATGTGTTTTACATTGTAGTGGGTAATGTTATATGCGGAAATAGGCTACTTAATCACTGATATTTCAAGAATAGTACCAAACACTATCTTGCTGTTCTTTCCTGAAATCTGTTCTTGAGGCTTACACTCAGAGAATGGTTTGTATTGAGACTATGGAGGGAGAAAAAAAGAGAGAGAGAGAATATAGAGGAAGGGAAGAATAGCACATTGGGTGAGTTGATTTGGAATTTAACACATGGTAATCCCATTAGAGGATAGCAGCAAAGTTGTGATTATATTTTATGGAGTCCTCTGTGAAGTGGTTTCAGCCTGCTTGAAGTTAACACATAGAATACTTTTAATCCTGGTCTCAAACTATCTCAATCCTTTTTCTTAAATTTTCACTCTATTGAAAATGATGAGTACTCTGGTAATGAAATAGGTAATACACATTTCTTACACAGACACACACACAGAATCGCCTCTAATGGGACCTACATCCATATTCTCTCATGTTTATGCTGGGCAAGCTTCTTACCGAGAAGCCTTCTCTTGTGGAGTTACTTATGCACAGGATAATTTAAAGTCAAACTGGTTGTAATTTACATTGCTCAACCACACTGGAGACTTTTTCATGTTCTTTCAAAGACGTGTGAAAATGTTTTCATCTCTCTTCCATACCCAAGTCTGAAAATACCTAAAGATTCTGTGCAAAATGTACCCATTTTATTTGATAGAGAATGCCTACACACTCATTTTTCCCCATGGTGAAAATCTTGAGAATATTCTCATGAAATCAGCGTTTTTAACAATCTGTTTTTGTTTTCTACCGGGGGAGGGGAGGACTTCCACACTGACCCCTGCAACAGTCTTATTGTAACACAGATGTTGTTTTACTCATTTTTGTTGTGCAGATATTTTGAGCAACAACAAAGATTGCATTAACAAATAATGATGGCAGACCTTAGAGTTACCATAGTTCCCATCTGAGGCAAAAGTATTGTAGAAAACATACCAGCAGTGTAAGCAATGACAAACACATTTTCTCACCATTTGCAGTTTTTGGTAACTACATCAGGACTTCACAGCAGGTAAACGACCCTCAAATCTGTTCTTAATTTCAACTCAAGTAAAAGACTCTTGGCAACAGCTGGTTTCAAAATAGCCGATACAGAATTCCACAGATGTGGTTCATAATAGTTTGAAGAATAAAAGGAACTAGGCCACAGAGCAGAATTAATTTAAGGAAAGACAAATTCAATAAGGATTCCTCTTTTGAAAGATTTCCCATGTTCAGGAAAAGAGGGACCAGTTTTCCTTATTGCTCTTTCTTATACTCCTACAGTATGTTAATTACTCGACAGACAGGTTGTGACCTATTAACACTATACATTCTTGCAACAGCAAAGCCATTGGCTTTCTCAGCGCCCAAATCTCATTATGTCTCACCATGCATAACTGATTACATGTGTGCATTTAGGCAAACTTTTCTAACAGAACTGAAAATAAACTAAGGGAACCAGCAATATCTCCTTCACTAAGCGTGGGCTAGGTACACTTGTAACAACACCGAGTGAAGAGGAAATGCTTAAAGACCTTGCTTCCTAAGATCTCACCTGACACACAGGCAGTGGTGTACTTATGTAAAGAGAGCAGAGAGGGTATTCAGCAGGTTCAGTGGAGTTAGAGCAATAAGAAAAAAGTGAACAGGATATGGGTGAGTTGTCATAATTAAGGGGTCAAGACATTTTGTTGATGGAAAAGCTAGGTACAGTAGGGGGGACTTTTAATACAAAGAACAATATTAACCACTCCAACCATCCTTAAGCGTGCAGTTTACCAGCAGTAGGTACATCCACAAAACTGCGTAACTGTCTTCACTATCCCTGCCCGGAACTTCTGCATTATTACAGACAGAAACTCTGCCCCATGAAGCAATACCTCCCTATTCTCCCTCTCGCCCCCAGCCCCAGCATCCTCCACTCTCTTGGTATCTATGAGCTTGACTATTCAAGGACCTTATTTCTGATTGACCCAGCATAATTTCACTGAGCATAATGTCCTTAAAATGCATTTGTGTTGTGACGTGTAGCTAGATATAATTTTGTCTCCTTTTAAAACAGAGGTGGGTGGGGGATGTAGCTCAGTGGTAGAGTACTTGCCTGGCATGGAAAGGGCCTGAGTTCAATCACCAACACTGAAAACACGAAAACAGAGAGCAAAAAGACCAATCTTATTAATGGAGTAACTATATTTTTGCCAAAAACAGTCCTCAAGAATTTTTCTTTCGTTACTTAAAATGATTGATTTCCTGATCTAGCTGTTTTTATTTGTGTTTGCCCACCTTTTAAGCTGCAGGAGAAATCTGACAGAGAGCCCCAACTTCTTCCAGCTGGTCAATTAATGTAGCCAGCAAAGTTCCACGCTTCGACCCCAAGGGAGCACCTTTGGTTACAGTGTTTGTCTCTCTGGAGACTGATACAGGCAGGGTCTCTGGGGCTATGCAGAGGCATTCCATTTTAGAATGGTGCTTCTGTGAACCCCAAACAGACATTAAATCAAAGGTATTAAATTAAACTTTGGGGGACAAAATGGAATTTTTGTAAAGAGATAAATGATTTGCTGTCTAATCAAGTCACTGATTTCATAGATTCTCATAATTTTGTTGCTTTGGTTTTCATGGCAGCATTATAGGGCAAGAGGGAAATGTGCGGGATTAATAGGAAATTATTAAAACGTTATTTTACACACTGAACACTGTAAAGTATTTCACACAGGCAGTCATCATTTAAAGAATATCATAACAAAAGCTTAAGTTTGTAAAACTTAATATTTTTACAACTATGCATTTGTTTATTTTTCTACAATACTATTTTAAGCCAGGCACATAACCAAGTGTTAATTTACAAACCAAAACTTATTACACGCTTATTGTATAAGGAGTTTTCATAAGAGCTTTCATTTCTTGTAATTACCACGTCACAGTAATCCATGAGAAAGGGGCCACCATTATCCTATGTGACAAATGCTAAAAGAGAGGCTTACAAAGGTTAAAACAGCAACCTGGACCACGGCACTAACCTTTTATATCAGCCAGAGCACCACAGCCTGCTATTGTAAAGATAATTTTATAGATGGACAAAGCCAGACCTGTGTTTTCTCACAATCATTTCAGAAACCAGTCAGGATTACCTTATGCAGTTTGTGCTCTAATAATTGGTCATTTTGCCCTAATGTAAGTTAACTAATGTCTTTTGGATCTCACTGTGCCACCACATCAGCTTATATCACTAACCACCGAGTATTGTTGGCTTTCTATACAACTGGTGCAAGTTACATATTTGCGCAGGTAGAGAACTACAGTAAGGGGAATCTCTATGGAAGTCTTTCATTTAGCTTCTCA